AATATCTACTCTTCTGTTGGACCATGCATTCATAACGTTATAGGTACATATATAGATATAAATCAATTCATTTGCACACTGTTCACATCCATAATCATGAAAGTAATGTTGTTTATAAAACAATCAGTAGTAACGAGTGACAAGTAATTTAAAAGCATCTTATTGATAACTATATATGAAAAATCATAAAGTCATAATCATTTCATATTAATTCATAAGTCTCTTCATATCAGTTCATAAATCATTTCATATCAGCTCATAACAAGTACATATAATGACCGGTTATTGAGTATTCAGCCTAGAGATTAAACCCCTTCTAGGTGGGCGACCAATAGGTTTCATGACTACCGATTGGTCTCATTACATACATGTTCAATCGGCCGGACTTTATATCAGACTACCATGACCTTATCAATCGGCCGGACTCTATACCAGACTACCATGACCATTAGACAGGACTATAGCCCCTACCGTCTATTCCATGACTGTTTTGAGTTTTTCTTGACATAAATTCATTTCACATGTCACATGCATAGTTCTGGATTTCATAAAAGATACAGTTCATTTGGTATATAATAACATATTAAAAAGTTTCAAATAAGTCACATGGTCCATTTTTCTGTATAGTCAAAATAGAACTTGCTTAAACAGTCAAGTAAATCATTTAATAAAAAACAATTTAGATTAACACGTAAAAATATAATTGATGACAAAAATTTTACTTTAAACTTTTGAAATCTCAGAAGGGTAAGTATCACCTACCTTTGTCTGGTTGCTCAAGTGGAACTACCTTAGACCTTCTAAACTGGTGTCGTACAGGTCTAGGCGCTTAATTGTCTGCTTGTTCGACGACGACGTCTTCTCCTTCTCCTCTATTCTTAATCGATTCTTGCTATAAGGGAGGCAGACAAGGGAAAGGTTGGAATAGTGTTATTTTTCTCTCTATTGTTTTGATAAAAATCCTAAACCCTAGCACTTCCCACTAGTAGGTGGTTTAGATAAGAATCTTAGTTTATTATGAACTCTTATCCTACCTTATCTCCTTACTAACCCTAATTACTCCTCTACCCTATCCTACTAATAAATTTATATTATTATTTTTTTTCACCTAGAGTAATTTTGCCTTTTTAATTAATTGAGCAAAATAAACTAAAAAAATGGGCAAGGACATGGGTTTTTACATTCTACCCCCCTCACAAAAAGTTTCGTCCTTGAAACTTACATATCTTGATAAAAAAGATAGAGGTATCTATTCCGCATGTCCTTCTCCAACTCCCACGTTGCCTCTCGCAGTGTATGATTCGTCCATTGCACCTTGACATAGGGTATGGTCCTTCTTCTTAAAACTTGGTCATTCCGGTCCACGATTCTTAAAGGAACTTCCTTCACTGATAAGTTCTCCCTCACTTTGATGGGTTGATCCTCCAAAATATAGCTCGGATCCGATACATACTTTTTCAGTTGGGAGACATGAAAAACATTATGTATCATTGACAAAGTAGGCAGGAGAGCCAGTCGATACGCTAGAGGTCTAACTCTATCCAGTATTTCGTAAGGCCCTACATACCTCGGACTTAACTTGCCACTTCTTCCAAATCTCATCACTCCCTTGGTAGGGGATACTTTCAAATATACCTTTTCTGCCGGTTGAAACGCTAAAGGTCTCCTCTTGGAATCCGCCCAACTCTTGTTTCGGTCCTAAACTACTTTTAATTTTTCTCGAATAATGTTAATTTTTTTCAAAGTTCTTTCTACCAAATCAGAGCCAGTGATCAGCTTCTCATTTATTTCATCCCACTATAAGGGGGATCTACACTTTCATCCATACAACGTTTCAAACGGTGACATACCTATACTGCTATGATAGCTATTATTGTACGAGAACTCCATTAGTTTCACCAACCTAGCCCAATTATTCGAGAAGTCTAGAGCACAAGCTCTAAGCATGTTTTTCAGTGTTTGTATGGTCCTTTCCGATTGTCCATCCGTTTGAGGGTGGAAGGCGGTACTTAATCTCAGGTCAGTCCCTATAACTTCTTGATAGGTCGACAAAAATCTAGACATGAATCTAGAGTCTCGATTAGACACTATACTTATTGGAACACTATGAAGACATACGATTTCCTCCACATACATCTCTACCAACCTCTCCATTGTTACCCCACTCGACATTGGTAGAAAGTGGACAAATTTGGTTAGTCGATCGACTATAACCCAAATGGCATCGTTATTCCTAATCGTTCGAGGCAATCCCACCACAAAATCCATTGCCACATGTTCCCACTTCCATTGGGGAATTTTCAAGAGTTGCAATAAGTCGGCAGGTCTTTGATACTCGGCCTTTACTTGTTGGCATACCAGATACCTCGCTACATATTTCGCTATTTATCGTTTCATCCCATTCCACCAATAACCTTTTCGAGTCTTGATACATTTTAGTCCCACCAGGGTGAATTGAGAATCTCGAATTGTGTGTCTCCTTTAGCAATTTCTGTTTCAATCCTTCATTCCTTGGCACACATAATCTACCATCTTTCCATAAACTCCCATCGTTTTTCAATTTCCTATCGAAGGGTTCCACTCTAAGTTTTTCTTTAATCTTTGCAAACCCGTCATCAAAATGTCGTGCTTCTTTAATCCTATCTATTAAAATAGGCGTGACCACTAAGACAGCTAGCATTTGAATCGTAGAGTCCACCATTTCCACTTCAAAATTCTCCATTTGATCCTTTACCGTGGGTTCTCTTAATACCCTTGACTTCCTACTGAGGGCGTCTGCTACCTTATTTACCTTACTCGGATGGTAATTGATTGTCAAATCATAATCTTTAATTAATTCTAATCACTTTCTCTGCATCATGTTTAATTCCCTTTGAGTAAAGAGATATTTGAGACTCTTGTGATCGGTGAAAATCTCACATTGCACACCATATAAGTAATGTTTCTATATTTTCAACGCAAATACTATTGCCGTCAATTCCAAATCATGCGTGGGATAATTCTGTGCGTACGGTTTTAGTTGGCGGGAAGTATAAGCAATTACTCTCCCATTTTGCATCAAAACGCATTCTAAATCATTTTTAGAGGCATCACTATAAATCACAAATCCTTCCATTCCAGAGGGTAGGGTAAGTACTGGAACTGACACTAGTTTCTCCTTTAACCTCTAGAAACTCGTTTCACATTTATCTGTCCATTCAAATTTTGCTCTTTTTTGAGTCAACCTAGTAAGAGGCATAGCAATGGTAGAGAATCCTTCTACAAATTTTGATAATAGCCGGCCAACCTTAAGAAACTCCTCACTTCGGTTACATTAGTGGGCCTTGGCCAGTCTACAATTGCTTCCACCTTCTTTGGATCAACGGACACCTCTTGAGCTGATATCACATGTCCTAAGAAGGCCACACTCTTCAACCAAAATTCACATTTACTAAATTTAGTGTACAATTTCTCTCTTCTTAGTATCTCTAGGACTTCTTTAAGGTGGACAGCATGAATTTTTTCATTTGGAAAGTACACTAAAGTGTCATCAATAAACACCACCACAAAACGGTTTAGTTGCAGTTTGAATACACGATTCATCAGATCCGTAAAGGCTATCAAAACATTGGTTAATGACAGGTGTCGAGTCTGTGCAATAATAAATATCTGCTGAAGAAAAATAAATTTTCTGTCTATAGTAGTGAGCAGGGTCGAATCCACAGAGATTGAGAAAAATTTGATTCTTTTCAAGTTCGGGACACGGGGGATTTTTATTAGAAATAAACTAGAAATAATTAAACAATTTAACCAAAAATAAACAATTAATTAATACGAATGTAAATAGCAATTAAATAAATAATAAATAAATTCTAGTCAAGAATACAATTACGCAGACACAGTCCATTCATCCGATCATTGATGCAAAGAAAGTTCACTTAATTTTATTAACAGGTTAGTTATAGTCCCCGATAAACTCTGACGACCAGCTTTTCCTTAATTTATTGATAACCAAGGTACGACCGTTGATTACCCCTAACCAGGAAATACTCCTAGGTACGACCGTAGGAATTAATTTCCTAATTGCCTTAAAAACTAGAAAAGCCTAACTCAAATTAATAACACGCTACGAGGGTTATTTAAATCAGATTGCACGTTTCCCTAGTATGTGAAAATACTAGTTGCCACTAATATTAACCAATTCAACAATTACGGATTTAATTGATTAATTTGATAGGAGATTGATAAGTCAAATTGCACATCGGACCCTTGATATCCAATTAACAAAATAATCTCATGAAAATTAAAATAGAAAACATGCAAATATTAACAAATTAAGGAACACGTAAAATTAATTAGATCTCACATATATTTGGGACTGCGTTTTCACGTTGATTCTTGACTAGATGAGAAAATTAGCCACGCCTCATAAGAAAATTTTCACGTAATTCAACTGAATTCAAAGGCATAAATAACTCACTAATAATTTAGAATGAAACTTTGAGTCTCCGTAGACTCTTTGAAGAAAAACCGCACACCACACGACAAGAGAAGGAACAAGTTCTCTTCTCCAAAACCAAGACTCCTATTCTACTTTGTAGTCTCCTCGGAGAGAAAAATCTCCCTCATGCCAGAAGCTCCCCAAACATAAAAACAAGCCAATCTATAAAAATTCACACCCTTGTCCACAAAAGAAAACATTCTTTTTCTACCTAATCAATCCCACCGAAAACAAAAGCAAAAGCCAACTTTTGTTTGTCGGGCTTCCTTTGACCAAATGCACATGACCACAAGAAAGCAAACAAAAGGCACATCATCTTTAGACAATAACTAATTCTTCGCGGTCCTTACCAAATTGAGATGTTGGCTTGCCAAATTTCTTATTTCCATTTCCTATTGCTAGTGGACTGCATCATAACAATTCAATTCTTCATCAGCACAAGGAAACGAAATCCGTTGGTTTTGTACCATGTGGGCCAGTTGTGTAAAGCTTTTAGAATCTCACGTGTGGAGTAATCTTCTCAAGAAGGTTTCTGCTCCACTTTCTGAAATTGGATTCAAATACCAAATATAAGTATATGTCACAATTAAAGCAATATTTGGCAAGGTCACAGAGGAAATTGACAATAAAATTACTAACAATTGACATCCTATCAGTTAATCCAAAGGGCATCACCAAAAACTCATAGTGCCCGTATCTCGTACGAAATGCACTTTTTTGGATGTTTTCGGCTTTAATCTTTAATTGATGGTATCCAGATTTCAAATCTATCTTAGAGAATACTTTAACTCCCTTCAGTTGGTCAAAAAGATCATCTATCCTTGGAAGGGGGTATTTGTTCTTTATTGTGATTCGATTCAACTCCCTATAATCGATACACAATCTCAGGCTACCACCTTTCTTCTTTACAAAGAGTACTGGTGCACCCCAAGGGGAAACATTAGCTCTAATGAATTTCTTATCTAGTAGTTCCTGTAATTGCTTCTTAAGTTTCTTTAATTCTGCAGGCGTCATTCTATAGGGGGCCTTAAATATAGGAGTCGCCTCAGGTATAACATTTATTTCAAACGCTATTTCTCTATTCGGAGGTAGACCAAAAAGGTCTTCTGGGAACATGTCAGAAAAGTCCTTCACCACCGAAATCTTTTCTAAATGCATCTCCTCTTTCCCCGTGTCCAGAATATAAGCCAAATATGTCTTACACCCTTTTCTTATTGCCTAATATGTTTACATGGCAGATAGAAGAGGTAACTTATAAATTTTTCTGTCACCAACATTTCCTTGATAAGAGAAATCCTTCTCGTTTGATTTCATGAATAACACCCTCTTCTTCCTACAATCAATTTGGGCAAAATGTCTAGTTAACCAATCCATTCGTAGGATAATATCAAAATCACTCATATTTATTTGTACTAGATCCACTTCTAATCTTCTATCATCCAATTTCACACTACAGTTTGGATACCTAGTATGAGACACTAAGATTCTATTTCTTGGATCAGCCACTCGATAGGGGTGGTTCGTCCATTCAAGAGACATGCACAAGTACTTTGTAAAAGAGAGACTAACTCCACAATCAAATAGTACATATGCAGACACGGAATTAATTAGAAGAGTATCTGTGACCACGTCGCCTGCCACCTCCGCCCTAACATCGGTCATGGCATGCACTCTCGCGTTAACTTTTGGCTTCTTATCAGTGAGATTACCACTCTTATCTCGTTCTACCTTCCTATTTGGACAATTCATATCCCTATGCCCCTGCTGTCCACATTCAAAACAAGCTCCTGCTCCAACTCGACATTCTCCTCGGTATATCTTCCCATAAGTTTTACACGTGGAAAAAGTTGTCTTAAGCCGGCATTTTCCCCGATGCATCTTTCCACAAGTTTTGCACACAGAAAATGTGTTTCCTCCAGTTATCTTCGGTGGTGGCCCATGACTTTTCTTAATTAAGCGAAACGATCTGCAAGGTTTCAGTGCTCCCACCACTGCAAGTTCATTCCCTAGTTTAGGTCCTTTATTCCTACCCTCTTCATCTAATCTTTTGCAATCAGCCTCAGCTTTAACGCTGGCATCCAACACATCATTAAACGTATGAGTATAAGAGGTGTTCACCTTAGTTTGAATTCTACTCGACAACCCCCTTATAAACTTATACTTTTTCAACTCCCCATCTGCCATTATTGATGGGACAAACCTTCCTAATGCCATGAATTTATTCGAATACTGCACCACAGAAATTTCTGGAGTTTGTTTCAAATTTTCAAACTGATATATTTTCTGCATCCGTACAGCCGGTGGGAAAAAGTATTTCAGGAACTCCTCTCTAAATTTTGTCCAACTTACTGGTGGGGCGACGGTAGGTTCCAGAGTTGCCCACCACTTATTGGCTTCTCCTACCAAAAAGGGTTTGAAGATTAGGTGTGTCATCTCCTCTGGCACTTGCAAAAGTGCAAAATTATTTTCTATTTCATCTAACCACTTTTCTGCTAAATCCGGGTCAGGAGTTCCATCGAAGATAGGGACATGGACCCTTTTCATTTTCTCATAATATGATTGAGTTCCCCTTTGTCCATGATTTTGGGTTTGAACCAGTCTGAATCTGTGCTAATTGTGTCTGGGCTTGTAATGTTTGGGCTACCCCGGTTAGTGCAGTCACTAATTCTACGGGTAACATCAGGTAAGGTTGATGCCCACTTGATCCAGCCCCTTGGTAACCCATATTCTGATTATTATTTCGTTGATATGGTTCTTGGTTACGATTACCGTGGTCGTTCTCACCATTAGGGTTGCTATTGTGATTTCCGCCACCTCTAGTATTTGGTGCCATTTCCTAAATCAAACAGATAAGTTTCACACTAAAGTAAGTATTCTATTCTTATTTATTATTATATATATATATATATGAATATATATTTTTAAGACGACACAACTAAAGTTATCTACTTGTATATTTTATGCATACTACCTCATAAAATAAAATAGGTGAATAAATAAATTTAAAAAAATTAAAACAGAGATTTTATTCACTAACTCAAGATGAAAAGAACAGTTGACTTCTTACACATCGAAGTCAATATTCTAACTTATTCTAGAAATATCTAATGAATCTAGTGTCCAATCCGTCTAATTATAATCTACGATTGGATAGAAAGACTAATTAATGCGAACAATCACTCACCAACCTACTAATGTTCTTGAAATAGCATCCCCTAAGACTAATAAAATAAATGAATCGTTAAATAGAATCTCTCTTAGACCAACTCTACTGCTCATCCGCTGGTGGGTCTGCATCCACAACTGCTCTGTCTCCTACACCTCCCTCGGCACCGTCCTGATCCTCAACTCCATTTTCCCCCTGATGGTTTTCTACGGGCATGTTGTCAGGATCCTCTTCGGGGTCGACATCTAGTTCCACGTCACTATCAGGCCACAGGTGATTCCACCCAGGCATTTGGGGTGCAAGGGGTTGGTGGTCATCTATCCAGTTCATCACACGCCGCCTCCTTTCTTCATATTTCACTGCTAAAGTTTGGTACTCCGTATCTCGATTTTGAAGTAAGGAAGTTACTTCTTCGGATCCTTCATTATACATATCAGCTAGTCCCTTCTGCACTTCTATTTCCGCTTTCAATTTATTGACCTCTTCCCGTAGACGGAGGGCCTCCCCACGCCAACCTTCCATGTTCTGTCTCATGTATTCCCTCAACACTATTAACGTCGAGATCTCGTGCGTTTGGTTAGCTACTCGATCAGCCAACGTATGAGCCTTTCTAGCTCTATCCATGGCTATCTCTAACTCCTCAAGGTACCTGTCCCTATAGAATCTCTGTCTCTTCCTAAGACGGGCCACATCGCATCCTGTCACATGAACTGGACAGTCGCAATCCTGATGCTCATCATGTACCGGTTCGGCCATCTCTTACAAGGCCAGATGGAACACTATTATTCCTGATTTCTTCTTCTCTAAGGTACACAAATCTTTTCAAGCTTAATTTACTAATTACTACTATTCATTTTTTAAACTATTCTATCTTATGGTGTTATTTAGAACCCAGGCTTTGATACCACTAAAAATGTCATGCCCCGAGCCCGCATGTGCCAGCCACGTGACATCCGCCGTATCCTCAAGTCTCACTCAAGAATACAAGGCAACATCATACTATACTAAACTTTAAAAGTACTAAATAATATAACTAGAAAAAGTACGGTACAAATCTCATATGAAGGATAGTCTACGAATATCCAATAAGTTCGTACATTTATTCTCTGGTTGAAACAGTGGAAACAAAAGTAAATAAAACTAACAACTAGAAGTAGCTAGATTGCTAACTTCTGTTCACTTAGAAACTAATAAAAGTCATCCTCAGGGTCTTCTACGTAAATCAACTAATACTCTTCAAAATCTGCAAATATGATAAAAAGTGGGTTGAGCGACAAGTCGCTCAATAGGTAATATCTATCCCTCTGTTGGACCATGCACTCATAACTTTATAGGTACATATATAGATATAAATCAAATCATTTGCACACCGTTCACATCCATAATCATGAAAGTAATGTTGTTTATAAAACAATCAGTAGTAACGAGTGATAAACAATTTAAAAGCATCTTATTGATAACTATATGTGAAAAATCATAAAGTCATAATCATTTCATATCAATTTATAAGTCTCTTCATATCAGTTCATAAATCATTTCATATCAACTCATAACAAGTACATGTAATGACCGGCTACTGAGTACTCAGCCTAGAGATTAAACCCATTCTAGATGGGCGACCAATAGGTTTCATGACTACCGATTGATCTTATTACATACATGGTCAATCGGCCGAACTTTATACCAGACTATCATGACCTTGTCAATCGGCCGGACTCTATACCAGACTACCATGACCATTAGATAGGACTATAGCCTCTACTGTCTATTCCATCACTGTTTTGAGTTTTTCTTGACATAAATTCATTTCACATCTCACTCGCATAGTTCTTGATTTCATAAAAGATACAACTCATTTGGTATATAATAACATATCAAGAAGTTTCAAATAAGTCACATGGTCCATTTTTTTGTGTAGTCAAAATAGAACTTGCTTAAATAGTCAAGTAAATCATTTAATTAAAAACAATTCAGATTAACACATAAAAATTTAATCGATGACAAAAATTTCACTTTAAACTTTTGAAATCTCAGAAGGGTAAGTACCACCTACCTTTGTCTGGCTGCTCGAGTGGAACTACTTTAGGCCTTCTAAACTTGTGTCGTACTGGTCTTGGCGCTTAGTTGTTCGCTTGTTCGATGACGACGTCTTCTCCTTCTTCTCTATTCTTAGTCGATTCTTGCTCTAAGGGAGGCAGACAAGGGAAAGGTAGGAATGATGTTATTTTTCTCTCTATTGTTTTGATAAAAATCCTAAACCCTGGCACTTCCCATTAGCAGGTAATTTAGATAAGAGCCTTAGTTTATTATGAACTCTTATTCTGCCTCATCTCCTTACTAACCCTAATTACTCCTCTACCCTATCCTACTAATAAATTTATATTATTATTATTTTTTTTCACCCATAGTAATTTTGCCTTTTTAAGTAAATCATTTAATAAAAAACAATTCAGATTAACACATAAAAATTTAATCGATGACAAAAATTTCACTTTAAACTTTTGAAATCTCAGAAGGGTAAGTACCACCTACCTTTGTCTGACTGCTCGAGTGGAACTACCTTAGGCCTTCTAAACTTGTGTCGTACTGGTCTTGGCGCTTAGTTGTTCGCTTGTTCGATGACGACGTCTTCTCCTTTTTCTCTATTCTTAGTCGATTCTTGCTCTAAGGGAGGCAGACAAGGGAAAGGTAGGAATGATGTTATTTTTCTCTCTATTGTTTTGATAAAAATCCTAAACCCTGGCACTTCCCACTAGCAGGTGGTTTAGATAAGAGCCTTAGTTTATTATGAACTCTTATTCTGCCTCATCTCCTTACTAACCCTAATTACTCCTCTACCCTATCCTACTAATAAATTTATATTATTATTATTATTTTTTCACCCATAGTAATTTTGCCTTTTTAATTAATTGCGCAAAATAAACTAAAAAAATGAGCAAGGACGTGGGTTTTTACACCCCACCCTTTTCTCTATTCTCTGTGCATGCGTTTTTGAGTTTCAATTCTTTTGCAGACGAAGATTACGGATGAGCTACCGGTCGAGGTTTGGTCTTCTATCCATCATCTAGTTCAATAAATATTCTTTTGAATCTATAATCTCCCCTTTAATTTTTCTTTTCAAACTATACCTCCTAATGGAATTATTCTTGTGCAGGACATGGCTATTCATGACAGACAGAGTGAGGTAAGCTGTTCTTACCTATTAATATATAAATTTAGTGATACCCTCTTTATCGATGTCTTCAAACTGCAATCATGTGGACGTATGATTTGTAGCATGCAAATTAAATAACTTTTGTGCACATTAAAAATATTGTTTGATTGCATAGCATATTTACGCAGATTAACTCGACTAATGTACTAACCTTCCTTTGTTGATCATTTTCTTACCTATATATGTCAATTTGTACTAGAAAAGGCTAGGGAACTTAGCAGTAGTCTGGGCAAAGACCAGCGGCTAATCAGTTGCGAGCTGGATACCTCTGAAGCAGTTGACTGTCCACCGGATCGAGGCGCAGAAGTCTTTAATAAACAGAGGTATGACGCATCCCAACTCCCAACAGAGGTTTCTACTGTAGTCCAAATACCATTTCTCCATGGTGATAGCAATTGATGTAAGAATAATAGCTTGAAATAAAAGTTTGATCAAAAGTTGCTCATTAGTAATTTTTGATCAATCGTTGATGACTGGCACTCAAAACTTTGGCTTAGAATTTTTGGGATTTGAACTTCATTTTTCATCTTGTTTTGATGTTTCATCTTTAACTTGTGTATTTAAGTTTTCTGGATTGGTACATCAGTTTTCATATCTTTCTTTTGATGTTTCATATTTGACTTGTATATTTAGACATAAGTAGAGGTAGCAATTTGACTTGTATATTTAGACATAAGTAGAGGTAGCAATTTCTATCCATATCCATTTAACCATCCATATCCATCTCACTTAAATGGTTTTGGATTACTAAAAAAATTTAGATGGACATTAATGGACATCCAAATAAAACCAATTGGTTTGATGGTTTTAAGTGGATAACCCATGCAATCCATCTAAATCCATTTAAGAAGGCAACGAGCAAACGCAGCATGTTTTGGTAGTACTACTGTTTCTTATGATGCTGAGTAAAATACTCCAAGTCCAAAGACGCTATTCAGCTCTTCCAACTCATGCGGTCAAAGGTTTCTTCTCAATCCGCGTATTCCAAATTTTTACATGCTTTATTTATTTTCTTTTTCCATTTTTTCTGTTTTTATTCTTCTTAGTTATCAAAACTCATCCTATTAATTAACTTAGGAGTGTCATTTTAAGCTGCGTGTTAGTTAAAGAAATTAGTTGTGTTAGTTAAATGAATTTTAAATGGAAAATTGGATATCCACCATC